TAAATTATGATCTTTCTTTTCCCTATAGACAACAAAAATATGAAAATGTTTTACAAAACAGCATATCAGGTGAAACAGATATTTGTATGTAATAAAATACATAATCTTATTACTTCGGGTTCTTTCCGCGAAATCTTTCTTAAAATGAGGCATCTACTTGGAGACCTATTTTTCATACTGATCATGACTCATACCACAGCATTAGCAAGGAAACGAAACAACCGCAGAAATTACAGAATTGTTCACATACAGTAATTTTTACTTACTGGGATGCAAAAGGGGTTGGATGGTAGAATCCAATGATTTTAAAATAGAAACCAACCTTGAAAATGTAACTCAAATATTTTTTCACACAACAGCAAGCGTTTAATATAATACTGCAATGCCTTTCTTCACTTTTTGAAGAGAATATTTTCCAATGTTCTCTGCCGTTTGGACCATGCTCACTTGTACTTGTATATTGACAATTATTTTCTGCAATGTTATTCTGTGTTCAGCATTCCTAGGTTTATTAATGTACCTACAATACCTATTGTATCTACTACTTTATTAACTACAATATTCCAGAGAAAATAGTCGCATATTGGAAGTCTGCATAATGTACCACCTATATATCAGCAAGCATATGCTAAAGCACAGTCGCCCACCAGCGGCCGAGCGGTAAAGTCGCTGAACACTGGTAGTTCGGTCCGAGGTTCGAATCCCGCGAACGGGCTGGCTGCATGGGCGTTTTCGTGGTTTTCCCCATGTGTGACGTGTATACGAGCCAGTTTCCCTTAGAAAGTCCTCCACGAAAGGCATCCCTCCCCTTAGGCAGATAGCCCTCGTGTGCTTTGCCATAATTAAATACACACACACACACGCTAAAGCACAGTCATGAATTCTTTAGCAATATTCACCAAACTCATAACTTCTCCAAATCTGCAGTACTGCAAATTTATACAACTAAAAAATCGCTAGACTGTAGAGAACAACTTAAAATATTTTAATGGCATTGGTTTCAATTTCAAAACAGATTCCTATGGCCTAACCCTGTAACTCAGATGACAGATGCTCTCCTTTGATAAATATTAGTTACCACGAAAAGCTTATTTTTTTATAAACTTAATACTCATACCATTTTGTCTTATAAAATTGCTTTAATTTAAATGACAGAAATTGCAAAGGCAGACATTCTAATTGAAAATGAAATCAACAATAAATAATTCTTCACATGACAAAGTTCTTCTGAAGGGATTAGTTCTAGATGCTGTTCGAAAAATCTTTGGCAGATTTGTCTATGCTCCGTAAAGCGGTTAAGATATCAAATGAAGATTTATGAGGGGTGCTTCTATCACATACGCGCTTATCGTATCGTAGTTTTGATGTAAAAAAAATCTTATTAATCTTGAGCTCGCAGTTCTCATCCCGATTAAGATAATAAGAATAAGAATCGCTATCAATACACTCCATGTGGAACACTTTAAAGTGTATCTCGCCGCGGAAACGATAAATGAGCGATAGACGCAAACCCAACCGATGCATCACCTGGGTCCTCGGCGCACAGGAAGTTCTATTTTGATCCCGGTGGCCCGTTTCTAATTCCGAATACGTACTTTACTATGGCACTTCCTCCGCGAAATGTTGCGAAACGTCTGCCAGAGGATGTGTAGCAGTACGGAGATGAAAATAAAGCTAAATGTAGATATCCCGCCAGAAAAGCTACTGTACGACTTTTACCGTAGTAGAAGAGCTTACGTAATGACGAATGTTTTCAAATGATCCCGAACCCCGCTGAGCGAAGTAAAGCTCGTAATTAAAACAAGTTGGAAACACATTGGTAGGGGATAATGAATAATTTTAAAAAGCGCACCAGCGTCTGTAAGAAATGCAAGTTCACTTCAAGGTCAGGGATGATAACTTGTGCCTAAACAATTCAAGTATAAAGGAGAGTTTACTTCAGTAAGAAAATTAATATTTGAAGGCGAGGGGAATTACAACTGAAGATCACATTTGGCAAGTTTTTTACTTACAGTACAAGATTATACACTCCATGTACAATAAAATGCAGCAAAAACTGAAAATTCAGTGCACATTTCGCCCTAAAGTAAAATTTTTAATATAGAATTTAGCATACGGACAGCTCAAAATATTTATTCTGGAGATAAAATTCCGTTTACAATGCCTGGGAAACAAACGAAATAAAACGTTATGCTTGAAAAATAGTATTACGCAAACTCTTTAGGTGGAAAAAGCAAAAGAGTCCCCCCCCCCACAATATTTCCGAATTTGAAACAGGCTAGAGTAGAAACGTATTTCAATACGTTCTACTCTAGCCTTCAACTGGCTAAGCAACATGTTGCAGATAAGTTATTAACATTTTTCTCGCCCGAACTTAGGCGTGAACACAGGCACGAACGACAAACGAAATTTATTTTAAAAGGGTTATTGGATATCGGTTGCGCACATCCGCAAGAAAGAGGCAGACAACTTTTCCATACAAAAGAGATGTTTGTTAAAAGCGCGAGGATTTCCTATGAATAAAATAGTATGCCTACCCTACGGATATCCGTCTCAGGATATTATCCATTAACATACGCGAAAGTGATTTTTATTTTGGTGCTAAATTATTGCCAACTACTGTTCGCCATTCACGGCCACATTCGAAACATCACTGGATGTGCAATTCTGTGATGACCTTCAAACGGGAAACAATGGTATTTTGCTAGTAAATAATCGTTAATATCTTACGTGCACGAAATATTTATGAATTATAATTCGTTTTTGTCGTTAGTTGCCAGAGAAAAATTAAAGATGTTTGGAAGTTTCATCACACTTAATACACAGAATAACAGTTTCAAACCTAAATTACTGAATTTTAACACATCTTTTCCTTTTCAGATGGGATTAATGTCATCTTCGATACACGCATAGGTTTAGAAGAGATTATGATTTCGGATAATAAAATACAAGGTAGAAAAATGTCTTCGCATGAAAGTCATGAGATACAGATTTCCACCTACTAGCACAGGTGGTATACAACAAAACTACATACAGCCAGTAATGCATTGGAAAAGTACTTCGGCAATGCCGAGCGAATATACTTGCTTGGTAACTGCTGGTTTATAATTTCGAGATGAAGCATTGTATGGCAGGCAAGTTTTGAGAATTTAATTTCAAGAGAGATAAATCTTGCATTTCATGTAGACTTAGTTATATGTAATACTAATGAATTTTATACCTATTTAGTTATGAAAGCTTAACGCTAATATAATTGTGCAAACAGTTGAACAGATCTGAAACGTTCATCTTCAGTTATGGCTATATCACAGCCGATATGTTTCTTCTTCCTCAAACTCTAAAACCAGTTATTTTTTAAATCTTACTAAAATAACACTAATATGCAGTTTTAGGGCTCAAGTATTTAGTTTAATACTAAGTAAAAAAATATAAGCAACCTAAAGGGTAAGGGCACCTTTAAGCTTCGAGAGTATAATTACGAAGGTAATTAATTATAAGGACGATAATATCTTACCCTGCATGAAATATTTTCGCAGAAGACAAACAACTAGGAAGAAAAAATGTAAAAGTTTAAATTATTAAGAAATTCAGTTTCTAAATCTAAGAAGTTTAAATTATTAAGAAATTCAGTTTCTAAAATCTAAAAAAAAAAAAAAAAAAAAAAAAAAAAAAAAAAAAAAAAAGATCATGTATTAATTATTGAAATGATTATTAACAATTCTTCTGACAACCTAATTATACGTCTTTTAGTGTGATAAAGGAGATTAAAAACATTTAGTCAAGAAGTTTAAACTCAATTCCGAATTCAGGATAACTGACAGAATCTGAAATTTAATAATTCCAGTCCGAAGGTAAACAGTAAATATATTTGAACATTTAGAATGATTTACAACAAAATCATTAATTCATCATGGCGGTTGGGACCATACCAAGCCAAATTAACCTTACAGATCTATCCGAAAAACTATTTTTTAAATATAGTCAAACGCAGTTTTAATAAATAAAATGACAGACTTCCGATCTCTACGTCAAAGGGCGAAACCGCAGCTCTGAACCATGCGGTCACTGAGCCACGTTTGTCGATTATATTTATACTTGACGTCAGAGATGACATGACTAGAAATTCAGTTTCCAAATAATTGCGGATCTTTTGTTATACTTGTAACGGTTACTAAGCTGCAATTTAGCCACGGGTAATAAGCCACTTATTTCTTTACTTTGTTTCCGTGTCGCACATGATACAGGTATCACAATAGCACGCAATTTCAGATTAAATATTGTTTCGATACTTTGGTGACGTAAAACCACCTCTGACGAGAAAATGAACTTATTATGTAAACATTTTGGGAGACGCAAAATATGCAGACGATTTATTCACGCAGATAAATAATGACTGGGTATTTGCAAATAATATCAATTTAAAATGTTCTTAACGCTCGATATTCAGAGATCCTAATCAATACCGCTATAGTTAAAAAGGCATTCAGAAATATTTTTCTTAAGAAATTTCAATAAAACATTACATTTGACGAATGTGTTAGGCCTAGAACACACGCACATGTTTACATTTACAACCGAAGAATTCAAATTTAGTGCAATCCCATATAATTTTACATAATTACTCAAGTTCCATTTAAGCCTACAATTTCGATTAAAGTACTGAGAACGATGCATTTCATACACATTTAACACACAACTTGAATTACACAAAAGCACAATAACCGAATTAAAATTTTTAGAGCGTTCTGATAAGATACAACGCTAAATTGTGAAGTCTAATTATTTTGAGCAAGGATTGCGAATCAAATAAGAAGTGATGCCTTTAAAATCTTTCTTAACGAAACTTATTTTACATCAGACAGAATGCTTACCGCAAAAAAGCTACCCCTAGTCGCGTTGAATATCGAAACCTTGTCCCGCGTTTGGCTCACAGTACACTGTATCTTTACATTTATAGAGGTTTGTAAGATGAAAGTTAATAAGAACCAAAAGGCACTTACCAATGAAGTGAATGGCTTCTTGAAAATACGCCCCAATGTCTTCGCACCCAGTGTCCCGCACTGGAATGCACTTGTATTCGAAAACTTCTTGAAAAAGGTTCGGGCAGAACTGAGTCACATTGAGCAACGCAGTTATTCCCAGCTGCTGGAGTTGTTCTTTGTGTGCGGCATCCCGGGCACTGCCCAGGTATAAATGCGGCAAAATTTCAACTGGTCCAGTCAGGATCTCAGAAGATTTGGGTCTGTAATGTCCTGGCCCGCCAGGACTAGGGGATGGGGAAGAAGCAGGGGAAGGAGTAGCTGATGGAGCTTGAATTACGAGGTCCGGAAACAAGCGATTGAAATTTTGATATCCACCTGATGAAAATGAAAAGACCTATTAATCAATTATAATTGATATACAAAAATAACTGACAGAATTAGATTATATGACGCCAAAATTATCTTTCAACAATATCAAAAATCGAAATCTTTCTTCACAAGATAACCTTTTACTATTTTTATTCAGTCATGAAGAATGTAGAATTTAAAACACGAATTTATTACTAGTAGCAAATTCTAACAAAAAGATGAAGGTGTAACTAAATGGAAAACAAATGACTTAATTCCTGATCAGATTTATTCCTAGAATCTATAAATGTCACATTAAAATGTCAACTTTGCCAAACTCAAATTTCACAATAAAACCAAACAAATCTGAGTATTTTTCATACTATCTTTACAATAGATACTCTAGGATTTGAGTCATCAATGTCGTCGTTGCAAAGCATTCCTTTCATGTGCCTTAGAAATGTAATGGGGTGGGACATCCAGGCGAGAAATAAAATTCAGGTTGTTTCCGGAGAGGTTGATTTTTCGATTCCAGCTTACGAAAGATTCAATAACTCCACATCTTACCTAATTTGTTTGAGAATCTTTAGTTCTGCTCGAGTTTTCAAAACACAAAGAAAAATAATTTTTCAAAACAGAAAGAGTTCAGGTTAAGTATACAATACACTTAATTGCATTCTTTAAAGTATACACTTACTTAACGAATTGCATTCTTTAAAGTACACACTTAACGAATTGTATTCTTTAAAGTACAAACTTAACGAATTGTATTCTTTAAAGTACACACTTAACGAATTGTATTCTTTAAAGTACACACTTAACGAATTGTATTCTTTAAAGTACACACTTAACGAATTGTATTCTTTAAAGTACACACTTAACGAATTGTATTCTTTAAAGTACACACTTAACGAATTGTATTCTTTAAAGTATACACTTAACGAATTGCAGAAAACGTTTCAGGTATTAACTGCACAAAAATAATTAGCGACTTTCATGTAAAATTTTCACTACGAGATAATAATAATAAAACTAATGCCAACTAAAATTAAAAAGGCTAAATTTCTGGAATTTGGTCAAGTCTAAGAACTTTGGATGTTTTATTATTGAATTGACAAAAACCAAATATTCAAAACGGCTAAAAACCTATTTGGCAAATGAAATGGTACGCCAAATGTACGACACCACGAAAGTTTTTTTTAATGATGACTAAAAAATAAAACTTTTTCATCTGTGTTTTACCTCAGCACCAATTCATTTCTAATTGAATATTTCCAACGATTAAAAGAGTATAAGTGAAACACGAGTAACAAGCTTTACTTTTCAAGAAGACGAAATTGAGAATGTAGAAATTAAACTAGTTTAGATTCTTCATCATTTACTCCGGTTCTTTCTCTGACGTCAGTGAAGTTTTGTCTGGAATGAAACTGAGACGGAAGGAAGTCCACATCATTTTCTGTCAAAACTGCAGTCGCGTGCGAAGTACGGATATGACGTAGAAATGGATAAAAAAAATGTGATCGTAGTGACGTTAATGTGACGTAAACGGGACCGAGGTCGATTTACTCGACCCCCTCCTTTCACGAATCTTTCAGTAGTATACGCCACGGGGACGAAACTTGCGTGTTACAACTGCCCTCACACTCTCCCGTTTTAGATCTATCTCTGCTCTGCATAATCAACCCCTCCACTCCGAATTCGATAAGCCTTACGAATAAAAAATAAGCACATTATTTTTAACTTACGTGCAAAAGTATAGATTAATGACACAGTGATTACCATCTGAAATGAATGTTTCTAGAATTATCTTTACGATAGCTTTCCAAGGTTGCACAAGATGAACTTTGAGGTTTCCTTCAAAGGCCATCTTGTGTCCTTTAAAAAAGCGGTTATCTGTTATTTTGCTTTGTTGCTAGGAGACTTTAGCTAAGTAACTTTATTAACTCATGAACGGAGAAATGAAGGTGCAGAGAACTTACATTTAGGTACGTGGTATTTTGCACAAAAAAGGGCTAAATATCTGAACATTTACCAAATAAAAACCGTATTAGTCATGAATAAAGTATTTAACAGCTTTTCAGAAATATCCGTGATATGAATAATAAATTTCACTAGTCGAAATACTGCTCTCAATGTGTGCATATTATATACATACGATATATATGTAGAATTAGTAAATTAATTATTATAAAAATAATTTAGAATTCTAATGATTCCTTACAGAAATAAATATGCAATAATAACATACAGGCTTCATTGTAAGTACTTGTCATATGTAAATACTTTTTACACAATTTGTCACATATAAGTACTTAGTGAGTATGAAAAAATATTAATCACTAAGCATTTTTTTTTAAATCTGAGGGCGGTAATCTTAAGAAAGTACGCGGGCAGCCAATGGCCTTGGAACGGCCCTGATTGCAGTGGCATCTATATTAGGTACATTAACAGTTAAATGTGGTACAGTGTAACCTCCCCAAGACGACCATCCTAGGTTCAAGACAATTTTAGTTTTCTGTGAAGATGGTCGCTTGATAGAATATGATTACCGACGATATTCAATGCTGTTTTTTAATTACCTTTTTTGAAACAACAGTCACTTACAGAAGAAGTCACTGTGGCAAGTTTCACTGAAATTCAAACACTATACAAATAGTATTAAAATTTTTAGCAAAACTAAATCGAATTCAATTCAATTAATAAACGTCAGGTTATTAATAAACGTCTTCAGAAGCTACTTTTAATTTAGTGGAGTTTTTAAAAACCTAAGTATACCAATTTCATAGAATTTACTGTTAGTTTGACCTGTGTTCGAATCTCAAATGACTGCATAGGTGCTTCTATGGTTTTTCCCCTATGTGTAATGTGAATACGAGCCTGTTTCCCTTAAACTAAGAAAACATTCCTCTTCTTTAGTTCTTTCTTACGTAGGAAAGTCCTCGAGTTTTAATACATAGCGTGCCTTCACGATTCACTAAAAATCAAGTTATTACTAGTATTCAAAATCTTTACTCGGAAGACGAAGCGAAAGATGCAATAGAATTATTGCAGATATATCAGTGAAGCAACATCGCGCATATCTAGCGAAAGCCAGGATATATCAGGCCTTGAACAGAGATTGCAAGCATTGATAGTCTACTTTAACTTCTTTCCATCCCGTTAAATTATCTTCATTTCCATATCCTAGAATTTTCAGGCATAAAAAATGCTACTTCAGTAATTTCGTACATCACTCAAGAAACATGTAAACAACGTTTCCAATTAAAATTTTCTGAGAATAAATAAGATCCAAAAAAATAAATATAAACAGGGAACAGATAAAGACGACGACATCAAAATATTCAATCGAGAGAATCCTTGGGAGCGTTAGGAAATTTTGCTCAGAAAAAATACGACAATCTTTTTTTTATAATCTCACTTTTTTTAATGGTGTCTGCCATGTATGAAGCCACATCACACAGCAGAGAGATAAGTTCCCGCAAATCGCTGCTGATACGATGCATGACGGGAGATAAATTTTCTAGAGGTCGAGGATGTTGGGTAAGTAGACGATCCGAGAAAGATAAACAGGATACGCGAATATACCTCTTCAAAAACTATACGAATATATAAAGTTAGAAACGGAAATGACGCGCGAGCAGTCTTCCTGTTAAAGATGGCTTGCCAAAATAAAACTCGAGGAGTCTACGACGTAAATAAAACCATGGTCAGATACTCTTAATAAACGCGTTTCTTTCAGCTAGGAAATGTTTTGGAGTATTAAAGTACGAATTGTAAGATGATGAATGGTAAAAGAAATTAATCAAAATTTAATTGTGCAAATAAATAGTGGTAACAGAAATGCTCCCTTCTCCCAATAAGTATTCCTCCCGTCCCGCAAAACGAGTTTCGCATTTAAATAACAATGAAATCATCCATTCTACAAGTGATTATTTCAAACTGTCGAAATAGAAATACTGAAAGTAATCGCATTCTACTGTCATCGAGACAATAAAAACACAAATGTTTTCTTTTCACCAGTTATAAACAAGTACACAAATAAAAGTAATTCCTTTTATTTAACAGCTTCGTTATTTTTAAATTAGGAATCAAATTCTTACTTACCTCAAATAACATTTTTAATTACCGCATTCTAAACTTTACACACTTCAGTTCAGCAGCCTTAACTGATAGTGAATTAAAATCTGAACTCCATTATTCAGCTACCATTAAGGGCCCGGCCTAAACTCCATCACAGTTCTGATCAAACAGTGTCCCATTCCTGGTGTAAGATTTGAGAATAAACCGAGTTTGAGGGTTTTTTGAGTTTTATTCAATCATCATTTAGAAAGGACTTTTAAGTGGATTAAAAATATATGAGGATTAAATTAAGGAATTCGGTGAAACTTGACATAATCTTCAATTTCTTTCATCTGTTTTGGAATATATTTTATAGATAACATTCTTTGACATAATTTTCATTTTCTTTCATTCATTTCGGATTATGTTTTTATAGACAACATTCTTCTGGTTAATTGTATATACAGCGAGGCCACTTCAAACTGAAGAAAGGGAGTCAATTGTTTTAAGAAAGGAAGGTTTAAACTGTCTTCACCGTCGTCATTAAAAAATTTACGAAGGGTGAACTCTAACCTACCAGTCAGTAAATAAAATGTTAAGGCCAGACTATAGTGAGAAGTTAAACATTCCTGAATAACCCTGGAAGATTCACAGTAGATCCGATAATAATACAAGACAGTATCCTAATATCTGAGAGATTGAACAAAATTATAATACATGAAATTCATTATATATGTAAGGTATGACTTGATTTTGCGGAATGCCGCGAACTACCATTGCACCAAGACCTGCAATGCGAAGCTTAACGTGTAGAAAGAAAATAATTATAATAGGGGTGGCCATAGCGCGGTTCGCGAGTCGTTCTCACAGGCGAATAGTGCGGCTCTTATGGGAATAAAATATATTAATGAAACATGGTAAATTAATCAGTGTCCAAAAGAAAGTAATTTATTTCATTTCTTTTCACA